TATAATTGAGCTGCGCATTTTTGCCCATTTTTTCCTTCAATAGAAAATCAATATCTTGTGCTCCTTATTTATTTCGAGGCATTAAGAGCAATATATGTGAATTGTATAGTGTCTAGAATTGCCTATTCCACTAATAAATATCTATTTTGTGCGTAAATGCCTAATTGTTGGCTATTGTCATATTTATTGATCAAAATGCATTTATCTTTAACCAAAAATTTAAAAAATTGTATGGTTTTGTCGTAGTTATCCTACAGAGAATAGAGAAATAGAACAACTTTCAATAAATCTTATGTTCCGTTTTACTGCCAGTATTATTAAGCGCAAGTATTTGGTATTATTAAATACCGCAATGGTGCATGGTGGTGGTGGAATTATTTTTGACTTGAAATTTTTAAACATTTTTTCCTCTAAATCAACTTAATTTTTTTTTTAAAATGTTGTCCTCGTATGTATCAAAGGGCGATATAAAAATTTGTGCCGGTCCCATTTTTTTCAAAATCTCAGTATTTTTGAAAATTGCAGAAAGTTAACATGGCAAACATGCAAAACAAGTTCGGTGATTTGTGCTTTAAATGAAATCTGTTTAAAACATCAGGTTAAAAAAGGCGTTATTCTCTTTTCTTTGCAAAATTTCTGCTTGAAAGTAATTTAATTATAAAAATAATCCTGAAAACCCGCTACAATTTTCTTACGCTTAAATGGACGGTGCAGGTCTCATTTTCGTTGTACACGATTTTTTTTAAAATGGCAAATGTTGATTTTTTAAAGACATAATGCGAGAAAGTATGTGATGTTTCTTGCTTTATTAGTTACATTTGTATTATGAATGATTGTAAAATCAAACAATGTTTCAATTATGTTTAAATTAAAGATGAGAAAAAAGATCATATATGCAGCATTTAAGTATCAGCTTGCTTGTAATGAAAAGCTAAAAGGTAGCTACTATATTTCTGACTTTTTTGTCCGAATTTCCTTGAAATGATAGAAAGGATTTTTACAAGGATTTGTCAGTGTTGTGATGAAAGAAAAATTCCATGAATGTCACTATATTATGTTACCTTCAGAAACTTGCTATACAAACAAATAAGGATAAGAAACAATTCAAAACTTAAAATAAGCATTTAAATTGACATTATAAGTGCCTATTTTGCCTTCCTATTTCTACAGTTTTTCGTTCCTCCGTAAATCCACAGCTTCGTTATAATAGCAACTTTCGATGGCTTTGCAATCATCAACAATTATCTACTGTTCGGAAACCAGAAATAAGATTACAGAAAAATTTTTGCTCTGTTTGGTTGGGAGTTTTTGAAAAAAAAAAGACTTAATAGTTACTACGATAGAAGTAACATAAATATTATAGTGTAACCCAACTGTTACCAATATTGGGAAATAGAATGTGTTTTTCAACACCCGTTTTCGCGTATTAATTTTTTTAAACTAGACTTTTTTATCCTTTATTATGGAGAATTAAAGCGTTTTTTTACCCTATTACAAGTAAATTAAATTCTTACAAAATGTTTAAAATTTCGGAACATCTTTAGAGAACTGTGTTGTTACCTGAGTTTTGCTCGGCTTTGAATTTAATAATTAATAATAATAATAATAATAATAATAATAATAATAATAATAATAATAATAATAATAATATTTATTCCCATCTTGTTTTACAAAGAACGTGTGCAATGTTGCTTCTTGGAATTACTTATCGATAACAACCAGTTGTGATGGTTACCAATACTGATTTTATAAATTGTCTGTCTAGTGTTCTATGTATTACTTTTGTTTAATTTTTTTAAGTTACAATTTTAAGTTCATATGGACATGCATCAACAAAAATAAAAATATAGTACTATAATAGTAAAATAAGTGAAAATTACAAACATCTAACAGGTAAATTTCAAATAATAAAAGTAAAACTCAATAAACGAATGTCTAACATACACAAAGAAATAATGTGATATTTCATGCACAAGTGGCTCAATGGTGAAGTCCCTTGCCTTTCACCACTGAGGTTCCGCTTTCGATTCTAATAAAATCCCTGTAGAACCTCATGTGAAATTTGTTTCGACAAAACGAGTGCATGCTTCACAGGGGCTAGTCCAACTCCTGTGAAGTGTCCTAAACCTACTCCAATCCTAATTCCTTCCCAATTCTGGCCGCTGAGTAGTGACGCAGGGACGCGATGTAGGAGGCGCGTTCGCGGAGATACTACTTGGCGGTCCTCTTGACAACTGACTGCGACGAGTCAGAGATGACATTGAATATTAATGGAGGAAAATATATATGAGGACAAATAAAGATCAAATTTCGTCTTTTTATTATTCTTGTCGAATAATATTTGTCTACTTTGCTGATAGAGGCTGGCAAGGAGGAGAAGGTTCCATTATCCAATCAGAGGCTTCTAATTCTGATGTCACTGCAGAGTGGCGAGACCTAATTAAGAAAAATTTACATCAGGAGCACAGTTACTGTAAATTGATGAGCACCATTTGTCGCCATTATATGTTTGGTTATGCGTCGCATGGAGCTGTGAATACGTGGAGGTGCTATTACCAACGTCGTAAATGTTCTGCAAGTTAAGTCAGTCCGCCATATTGGTGAGCCCAAAACACAACAATAAATGCTGTCAAACACAACAATAAATGGGTAGGACCAATGTTTGGTGGGATCACTGTAAAATATTTTCAGTACGTGAAAATCAAAATAACCTCAAACTTAAAACGTCAATACAGTACTAAATGTGCTTCTTCTGCCTTTGATATTTCTTACAAAAAGTTTGCAACACACACTTTGAACTTAACACTGTGAACATTCTGAAGGAAAATATGATGCACAAATTATTAAGAAATATTCTTAGAATTAGTATTGCCACAATTATATATATCCAGATAATTTTTGAGTTTTCGAAAAACTTCATTTGAAACACTTTAACTCACTAATACAATAGTGTTTACAAATTGCTGGAAATTTGCACATTAACGGCGTAAGAGATATTTCAAAAGAATTTCATTTGTGTAAGTTTTGGAAAAACAAAAAAGTACCCCGAAATGAACAGTATGTAATATCAAAGAGTGCAATTAGCAGTCTCCGTTCAGAAAGTTTGAAAAAAATGGAGCTGGCCTTGAGAAAATGGCATTTGAGCTATTCTGAAAATGCGGAATTTTGAGCTAGTTGTCACAGAAAGTGGTTGAGTTTTAAGAAACTCTATATGACCTTATTTATAGCACATGTACTCTTAAATACAATAACAAATTGCCGCTAATATAAATATCAGTGAGAGAAAAGTAAAAAAAGAATACATTTTTGGAATTTAAAAAAAAAACAAAAAATATAGAGCAATATTCATCAAAATTCAGAGTTTATCTTATAGAGTATTGGCATTATCTCTACGAAAATTAAAAAAAAGGTTGGAGCAGTTTTTGAGAAAATCTTGTTTTTGTAATTTCTTTAAATTTGCCTATATTGCGCGAAAATTACAAAAAATTTCAATAAAATGTATATGACCTTAAGAAAAATCTTTATCATTAATTTTGTAGTTGTAGAAAAATTCAGTGTTAACTCTGAAAATCGGACCTATGCCACTTTTATAAATGTAATTTACTCTTTTCTTACAAGAAATTTAAAGAAAAAAATTGGATCTGTTTTTGAGAAATTCTTGAAAATATCCGAGGGGCTTCAAGTAAAGTACCCCAAATTGTAAAGATTTTTTTTTCTCAAAATCTCAAAGATTCGACTTGAACCAGATGGGTAAGGCTGTCTTCAGTTTGGAAAAAAATCCTACGTATGGTTTATGCGCTAGTGGTATTCACAGACGCACGGACGAGTAGACAGACGGATGTTTGAAAAACCACACGTTTTGGTGTCCCCTGGTTTGGTTTTTCTGTTTTGTTTCCTTTCTTACAAAGACCTTACCCTTTGTGCATCGTGTGTTGGCCTAAAACTTTTTTTTTTTTTTTTTTTTGCGATTTCTTTAGTAAGCCTTAGTAGGTTTTTAGTTTGTAAAATAAGATGGTTATTGGTGTAAGCCTTACTGGCAGGAAAGGATCTGTTTATTACATACGCAGTCAAGTTCTTTTTCTTGAAGAATTTTATTCATGCTCTCGTCATTCTCCTGTGTCTCAGTTGAATAATCAGTGGTTGCATCGCATTGGGACGAAAAGTTGGTAGTCCATGTGCCATCTTCAGTTTCATGTTTAATGCCGATTGCATTTTCACATCAGCAATGATATTCATACTTTCACTGTTGTTGGAATGCCTTGTATTTCTATGATATTGACTGTCCGGGATGAGCCGCGCCACAGTTCGTTGAGCTGTCGTTTCGGCCACCATTTTGTGGCCTTCAGAGCTATACTATTGAAAGACCTAAATAAGACAACAACATGATGGCCGAAACATTAGCTCGACCGACTGCTACGCCGCTCAACCTGGACTGCCGAGTATCAAATGTCTCCGGCTGCGGAAGCCTCCGTATCCTTGCATTTCTATATTAGAAATTCTTGAATATTGCGCGAGATTTCTTACTTTAGTTTTTAGTTTCAAAATATTTTTACTCATTTGTGAGTTTTGTTTAGGAAGTTCTGCATTTTCTTTTTTTTATTTCATTGTAATTGTTAGTGACCTTCTTCATTTTTTCATTAGGAGATTTTTATTCGAAAATACTTCACATGAAATCTTAAATTCTTGTTTGCTGTATACTCTAAGATCAGAGAATACGCCTGTTTTGGAAAGCTTTCATTTGGTAAATAAAGATTTTTGTAGTTTATTCCACACTAGCAGAATTGTCTTGAAAATGTGCGTAAGTTTACAGTTTTCACAGAGCCAGTTCTTTTTTTTTCTGTTTTCTTGCTAATGTTACAGTGCAGTCTTAGAGAAATATGTTTCTATACTCACCCGCATGGCATTTTATCCGTTTGTGGAGACCACCTCTTTGCACCCACCAAACGCGAAAGCATGGTTAACACTTCACTCTAGTTCACAAAGCGCACTATACGAACTTGATGCACCGTGATACCACGTCGGATAAAATTTGCTCACCTCGGATGCTCGAACCACACTCGTATTTCCAAAACGTACAAAGAAAACACTGAACGAATTCGCAAGTCGGAAGGACCTATCAATCATTAACGTTTGTCATGATTTTAAGATACTTATGATAAAAGCAAATAATGTGTCTTAGCATTTGTTTTATAGCATTTGTTCTATAAAGAAACAACAGTCATACCATACACGGTCTGCGTAAAATGGTAAGTCAATTATGACTTGTCTCGATCAAGATATGATTACTTTTCTCCACTAAATATCTCCTCGTGCGACAATTAAAAGCAAGAACAGTAATAATGATTATGTTTTCATTTTCTTTTGCAGGTTGCTACCATCATCTGCCAGCAGTAGATACCATCATCCTGAGCCAGACATTTCCAGTAAGACCGTGCTAGGGAATTCTGATAACCGCCACAGTAGCAACAACAGCAATAGTAATAGTGGCTCGAATAGATTTTTAAATTACACCCTTACTCATAATCGTTCAGAGATGTTAAGATTTGAATCAACAGAATCTGCTCAAGTGAGCTCTAGAGTACGTGAATTAATACGTGATGATGATCATTGCATTATTATAAATGAGACAAATACGAAAGTACCTGCAAATGTACTCGAAGGCAGTGACCGTAAAGAAATCGAACGAACACATGTAATACCTAACCTACCTTTGGAAATTGAAATTACTGATGTCCCTCTTGTGCGACCTGATACATCAGGTGCTTCTTGTTCGACATCAGAGAAAACGGATACTGTTTCTGTCCCTGATGTTGCTGATTCCGCAAAATGCCATCATATTGAACCTATTGTGACAGTCATAGAAGATACAAATAACAGCACCGAAGAATCCAATTTAAACAGTGAATATGATTTTCCCAGAGCTATTGAACGTCCAACTCATTCCGAACACGATAGCAATCGAACTAGAAATGAAGTTGTATGTTGCATGACTTGCCAGCGGTGCCTTCATTCAATATTTTGTTTTCACCATCTCAATGTTTGCACCTATAAAGGTCTCTCGGCTGAAAAACAGAAAGTAGATAATAAAGATTCAAATTATTCGGAATGTTTTAACTCCGTATGCAAGGGCACATCCCGTAATAACCCAACACATGTGTGTTGTTCGACACCCGTGCCAGTCAGAAATCTAATTCCTCACTATTTGAACGCTGCAGACAGATCACCTAATTCATTCGTCGCAGATGGAAAACTTATGGCTTCTAGTTCTGGAGACTGTGAAGATGTATCCAATGAAATTAACAAAAAAATGCATTTTCTTGATGACAGTCATTCTTACAGCTGCCAAATTTGTTTTAAAACCTATTCGTCGAGTTCTGCTCTTGCAAACCATATCCGCTATCACAGAGGAGACCGCCCGTACCAGTGTGAAATTTGTAACAAAGCGTTTGCTACAAATTCCCATTTAGTCACTCACAGACGAGTACACACAGGTGAACGGCCTTTCCAGTGTCAAACTTGCCATCGAAGTTTTGCTGATCGATCTGCATTCATTAAACATGAACGAACCCATGGTCCTAATGGAATCGTAGTAAAACGATTCAGATGTGAAGAGTGTGGGAATGCGTTTGTAGATTCATGTGGACTGAAGAAGCATATGCGTATTCACACTGGGGAGAGACCATACAAATGTTCTATATGTGAAAAAAGTTTCTCGACAAGTTCAACATATGTTGCTCATAAACGAATTCACAGTGGCGAGAGACCATACAAATGCGAACAATGTTCGAAAATGTTTATTACTAAATCTCATCTCTTGACTCATCGCCGCGTTCACACGGGCGAGAAGCCATTCACCTGTCAAATTTGCAGTAGATCGTTTGCTGATGGATCCAGTTTCCGAAGACATGAACGGCTGCATAGTGGAGAAAATAGGCACGTGTGTGAAGTATGTGGCAAAGGATTTCCTTGTAATACATCTCTAAGCAAACATAAACAATCGCATAATTCTGGCCCTACCACATTTATGTATATGATGTAAAAATATATTAATTAGATGTACAATAATGTAAAATAGTGTTTTGATTAATATGAATAAAATATTTCTATTTGCTACTTTGACTTACACTTTACTAATTATTGTGGACGTGAACTAATGATATCATTGCTTAATTGAATTCTTTGTATAGCCTATCATTCCAACTTAATTAGTTTCCTTTAAAACAGTTTTTAGTTTGAATCCTTATCTTTTAGTTGGGAGTGGTGGAGTGTGAAATATTTTATCACTGAATTGTCTTGATCAATCATTCTAATCACATATGTAATATCTTGGAGAGGGAATGGGAGATTTCAAAGATTCACTTAACATAAAGCATTGTTTATTGCCTTGCCGAGGCCATTTTGCGTGGAAAATATTATGACCCTGCTATTTACTGGATGGAATCGCTCAGAGGTGGCGTTGCTGTTGCCTCCGTAGTGTCGCTGATCTTGTCCCAGGGCTTGATTTCCGACAATGGCGGATTTTCCACATGACAACCGAATGCCGGAGTAGTACACTAACAAACTGGCCATGGACCTCGCGCTACATTTCCTTCCTCTTCCTTGACATATCGTCGCCCCTTACTTACTCACACACTCAAATGCACTACACTACCACAAGCCGGGAGGCTAGTCTAGAGCTTAGAGCTTGTTTAGCTGGAGCGGTATCCCGTTGGTGAAGATAGCTGTAGGTGAAGAGTATGTCGGCGCCGGATCTCACTTTCCAGCTGGGAGAGAACAGTGTCTTTCCCAGCTGTAACTTGCTCTGCGCTCACGGGATCGATGACAATTGTAATTGATGCACCCGGTAACATGAAATCACTCAATCATGCACTCAGTAACGAGCTTGCAAAAGAATCCTTTCACGTCCTTGACAATAACCTGGCCCCAAACCCATTCCCACCCGTTAGTTCTCTTTCGTCGCCCGCACCTCCTTGAGACCCACTTACCTTATCTCCTGAACCTAAGCCCTGTACTAACTCTCTCTTTATTCATTCTTCTGTACAAGTGAACACGTCAAAGTGAGTGCTTTGTGTACCTTAATTATTGTGTATTTTATATTTACATGTTTATTTCTGTTAATTAGTCGTCAGTTTCAAAATGACTGTATTTTGTTTAAATAATCCTAACCATTTTAGTTATAGATGTGATTAAGTGACTCTCAAGTCTCACATGCGAAACCTTATTTCATTAGTGGAGAGGTGCTATGAATTTTATTGTATATGTTAAGTGGGGAACCAAACAAGTTCCTTGCCCCCACATACTATCTGTTATTTATCATGTTCTAGGCTTCTCCCTGCATGAAAAAGTGGCACCCACCACATGTCATTTGCTATCCCTATGATTTGGAGGGAACCCAAAGATCACTCCTCTGACTGCTATTTCTGCTTAACTAGCATTAAAGGAATTACGTGAAAATCAAAGCATACAGTAGTGTAACATAATTTACAATCTGCGATGAGACCAGTTCCATACTGCTAAGAATTGCCCATACCAAAGCCTCCAGAACACTTGACATTAGATGTAAAGAGTTCAGATTCTGACCGAATTAGGAAGCAAAACAAACAGATTCCTCTGGTGATACAAATTTTGAACAAAATTGTTCATCTGAGTTTCATGTATTGATTCAAGGAGACCTCATAGGATATTTAAAGTTATTTAAAAAACAGTCTGAAATGCCTCCGTTACATATAAAATTAGAATAAATGGATTTCGCCAAAGCAATGGACTATACTCCTGGTTTCATGTAATTAAAACAGAAGTGTCCTAAAATGAGTGATGCAAAAACCAGAGAAGGAATATTTGTGAACCTTCGAATATGATCATTAATGCATGATGAAAAGTTTCGGGAAATATTGAATCCACTTGAGAAAGCAACTTGGAAGGCATTCAAAAATATTACAGTTCTTTGGGAAATCGAAAGGCCGAAAATTGCCAAGATATTGTCAACTTTCTTACAACATCATTTAAAAATGTGGGTTATATGTCCTTAAAAACACAGTTTCCGCACACGCATCTAGATTTCTTCCCGGAAAATCGGGGCCCAGTGAGTGATGAGTATGGGGAAACAGTTTCATCAGGAGATTTGAGCGAAGGAAAAGAGATATCAAGGCAAATGGAATTCTACTGTTCTGGCCGATTATTGTTGGACCATTAGAAGGATGCTACATAGACGAAATGTAGCAGATCATCATCATTTCTTACTTTCAATGCAAGTCAGAATGTTTGAATAATGCGTAGAATGCAAAATATTAAAATGTTGGACATTATAAATGCCTGTCTCGGAAACCTTGCGTGATATGGAAAAACCGATATCATATTTGAATTGAGGATAAAAATACTATCAGAATCACATTTTTTTTCTGAGACAAAAAAAGTTAATTTTTTGTTCCCTAGAGTTCGAATTCAAGAAACGGAAATATTATTTGGAAAATGAATGAAATAATTTTCAAGTAATTATATACTATTATATCGAAGTTCAAATGTTTATAGGAGTTATGAAAAAGTGGTACAATAGAGTAAGCTATAAAAAAAAGAATACAAAAAGGATATTTTTTAAAAATATTATTTCCACTCATGAAAGAAAATGTCTGGTAACCTTATTTTTATATGGAATAAGTCTGTATCTCTGTAAACATAGCAATTACGACTAGGTGGCAGAATCATTGTTAATTTCATGGGTGGAGATCGGCATTTTCTTTTATGGATTAATGTTGCAACTAGAATGATATCAGCGAATCATGGGAAAGGTAAGTCGCATTCTTTTGTGAAGTGTTGAATTTGTATTTTTGCTGTACATTTGTGAATAATGTTTTAAGGAATTAAGCTAAATATTCAGTGAAGTTCGCCAAATGTCTACCCTACTCCAGAGCAAATTAGAATAGTTTCTGGAAGTGCTTTGAAACTCAAAAGGTTCTTGTACTTTCCAAAATAAACCCAAATACCGGAGTTTAAAAACCGGAGAATTCGAGTGTAATAAATTTAAAAAAGTTATTTTTGCTATAATTTTCTTGGCTATATTACTGCTGGTCGATTAATGGGAAGCAACTGAAGTGAGAAAATTAAATTGAGCCCTCTTAAGCAATAGTTACTTCTGCACCTCGGGCGTTATAAGGGTTCTAATCGAGCGATGAGAAAAAAACCTCCGAAGGTTATGTAGCCTCAAATAATTAGAACCAGTTAACGACCGTACAAGATATTAATTTTTAACATATTTTAATGATACAGATTTATTAATAAACTAAATGTTAACTTGGCTCAAGTTGTCTTTTTGTTTTTCCCTCCCATAATTCCCTTCATAAAGAGAACTTGTAGCACCATTCAACTGTTTTCATATTTCCCTCTTTACCGCGATCCTCTCAATCCAGGTAAGTTATCAAGCACTGTATGGATGACAATGAAAAGCAAAAACGTATCATTTAAAAATAAGACGTTTTTTGCATTGCAACAATTTCGGAAAAACAACGATGAGTAGATTATTTTTTAAAGCAAAAATATAATGATTTACAAACTACTTTGCTGTAGGAACTATGGAACGCTCTTTATAAAGCTGTTGATAGAAACGAAAAATACGGGAGTCAGATGAAAAAGAGGCATGGAAGAAACTGTTTATTATTTCAAAAGTAATCGTCATAAATGTTTTTACATTTATCCCACTGAGTGAAAAGACGGTAAACTCCTTCGAATAGAAATTCTCCCATAGAAGAATGTTAGTGGTTGCGTACCTGTTGCCACGATTGTACCCAGATTTGCACCTCTTCGTCCGTAGCAAATCGATGGTCACGAAAGTTTTTCCTCAGGATACCAAAAATTTTGAAATCGCAAGGGGAGACATCTGGACTGAAGTGTAAGAGCTTTCCAGCGAAACATCTGGAGCATTGTGGAAACGTCCTTGGCAACACATGGACAGGTATTATCGTGCAACAGAATGATGCCATCCGACAACATTCATGGGGGGTGGAGTCGTCTCGCTTCATATTTGGAAAATGTCCACGAACCTCTCTGTGTTAATTGTGCCGTCATATTCCAGAAAGTCAATGAGCAGCGGGCTCTTGCAAACAAAGAAAAAAGTCATCATGACTTTCCCAGAGCTGGCGTGAACGGCTTTGGATTTTTTCGGTGGGGGTGAATCCTTGTGCTTTCACTTTGTTTTCCGACGCTTGCTCTCCGCCTCAAGATGACACCTTGTTTCATATTCCGTTTCAAGACTGAGCTGAAAACGATATTCTTTAACTTCACAGCGTTTGAGATGCCTATCAACTTCTGTTCCTCCGTCAGGCTATGGTGAACCCCCTGCACACAGATTTTTCGAAACTATACAGCTCACGCCATCTTAACAGAGCATCTACGGTGACATAAACCGAATGTCTCTCTCCGTCCGCCGTCACACAGTGTGTAATTTTGGCAATCTAGGTGGAGAAAAAGTCCGAAGCAATAAATTGTTTACTTATATACAAAGCATATATTGAAAGTAAATTATAATGTTAATATACGGAACAATTTTCTTTTCTTAAAATAAGTTCGACAACAGCTGTCATTTCCCGAAATGAGAAAGAAAATCACAAATAGAAATAAAATGAAAGTATATAAACATAATAAATTAAACAATTTGTCATATTATTAATTGTGAACCGATAAGAGAAAATAAAAATATAGAGTAGCCAAAAAGAAAACAAATTTGAGGCAATTATTACGAACCACAAAATGTTTGTTTTCCATCTCAAATCCTCGGATGAGGTAAAGAAATTTCTCCAGTGTCTTGTTGACCAATGTCTAGCAAATTACCCTTTTTTAATTTCTTTTACTTTCTCACCTTACCAATTCTTCCTAAGAAGAAAAAGTTATGTAAACGTACATCAGAAAAGACCAAAATTTCGCCAGAGAAAACCTTATTGCCGGGTTGTGGTAACGAAGAAGTTGATAAATTCTGTTGCTAAATTTAGGGGAAAAATCCTCTAACTCGCGGCGTATCCATGTTTTGTTGATTCTTAATTCCGAAAATTGTTTGACGTCTCTAGTCAACGCTAATATTTTCATTTTTGAAGATACTTCACACGGAGCATCAAATACATTTTCA